TCAGGTAGTTAAATATGAGACCCTAGCCCAGTTTTTTCAGGTTGGGTTGGATCGGGTTTGTGGATTGGGTCAACATTTTGCCAGGTCTATTTGTAGTAGATCCTGCCTCCTACACTAACAAACCCTTTAAGCAAATAGTTAGTTCTTCTAGTTCAAAGTTTCAAACAAATTAGGCCTCCTCTTATATGGACTATAGCTTACTTAATGTGAAAACAAATTGGTTATTATAACAAAAAGACTGAAAACATGCTTTTGGTTGTATATTGTGTTTTTTTTTTTTTCCCAAACTACGACAATAAATATGTTCTTAATTTCTGGTCTGAATAACATGTTTTCTTCAGGTGAGTGAAGTCATGTTTCATAGATCATGAAATATTTGTACTCCAAAGTTTGTTTTTGTTTTAAAAACAATTATTTTGATGGTTTTAAAAACATGGGTTGTTTTTTAAGCAAAACTGACTTATTTTTTGCTGATGTGACGAATTAAAGAAGAAATGAAGAGATTCTCCACACATTTAAACGAGTGGTCCAGGGCTTCCTTTTAATTTAGATAACTGTGAACATGCAATTTGAATGATGAAGGGCTTCAAATTTGAACCAAATAATAAGTAACTTCAGCAACTTGGGATAGGGGGTGCAACTTGGGCAGGATCAACCCGAGCTCAGACTGAGTTAACCCGGATTTTTGTACGGGTTGGGCTTGAATTTTGACCTTTCATTAGGGCTTGGGCCCAAAACTATAGGTTTTTTTTTTTTTTCTTTCAGGTTAGGCTTGGGCCTAGCCCCTAGGCAACCCAAACCCAGCCCAACCTTAACTTAATTCAAGCTCGGCCTGACTAGATACATGTATACATACATATATACATACATACATACATGCATACATACATATGTATACATACATATACAAAATTCCTATTTAAAAGTTAAAATTAATGATACTAAATAGGTTAATCTAACTTTTTGGTACATTGGGCCTAATAATCTCATTTTAGCTCAATTCACCAACTCGAACCCGGCCTAAGCTTGGACACAGTCCGAGTAAATCAATTTTCAGTTCTGGTTGGGCATGGGTTTGACAGATCAGGACCCAGGCCCAGTCCTGGTGCTTGGGCCTTAGGCCCACTTATTTAGGGTTGGGCCTGAATTTACCTTAAACCCACCCCAGCCCGTCCGACTTGCACCCCAGCCCGTCCACATTCACTCAGCAATGCATCCAACACCGGTACTATTACAACTGTAAGAATCTGTATGAATTAATGTGTCATGTGGGGAGAGCCCTTGACAGCCAAGGCTGTCAAATATAAGGACAGCCAAAATTTCCCCTGATGGGCTATGTCAGGCATAATTTTATTCAACTATAAATACAAACACATGTATTGCATGCAAGAAATATAGCTTTTGAGTTTCTAGATATTTTCACATCTTTGAATGTGGCTTTCAAGGAAAAGCATTTTGGACCAAAGAAGGTGTATGACACGGTTGTGATGCTATCACTTTCATGCAACTGGGCTTAAAAAAGAAAAAAAAAAAGGAAAAGGAAACTAGGAAGTTCAGATATTTCATTAAGAAAATTAAAGAGGTTATCATCAGTGATTTGATGTAAGGAGAAACAGTTTTATTTGGTTTGTTTTTTAAGATCATCAGTCCTGGCTTCACATAAATAGAAAAAGAAAGAGGAAAAATATATATTTAATTTTAAGACCATGCACCAGTTCAATTGTTGGATTCCTACTTGGAATACACACTTTTGAGCATGGTTTTCAAACCGTCATTGATCTGCACAGTTAGACCATTTGGTTTGAGAATGTCCAGGCAATTGGTTCCATTTCACACTTAATCCATCTTTTGCCAAAATCATTGACTTGATCAATAATCTGTAGATCTAGGTGGCTGAACTATTGACCCATTTGACCCAAACACCAGATAATCGAACCACTAACCTGAAAAACAATGGCCCAAGCGGTTCTAATTCTGATTCTGGATCGGTTTTTAAAACATTGCTTTCAGAGTACATAACTGTCTACTGTATTTATGTGGCAATCTGTATTTATTTGCTGAAGCTGAGCAATGAATCATGATAATAGGTGGCCAGAAAACCTTCAGTGACCATATACACCACTAAATAGGAAGGATTGGTAGCTTTAAATTTTAGTCTGGGCAAACCCAGATTCAATAGGGGCAGTTCTCATAAGGTTAGCCCCATCCTTGGATACTTTGCTGAATTGAATTGCAGTATTCTAACTATGCTATCCATCCAGTGTTTGCACAGTCCAAAATAAATCAGACAGCTTTACCATGTGGAGTAGTTCATGAACATTGTACATTGTGCCCCACCAAATTAAAAGAGAGGGAACATTAGTATGGTCAGGCAAATTTTAAACCACTCTTTTTGTTTTCTGACCCAAATGCCAAACCTTCTATATGAGTATGTTGATGAAGTGCATGGTTCTAAACTATGGGGATATTTCAATAGATTTATCTAAAATTTTGTTTAAGACCTACAAAATGCAGATAATGTCATAAAAAATTTCCCCAAATTTTAATTTACTTGTATTTCATTTCAGATTTTGGGTCTGAATGAATTGAATAAAATTTCTGAAATTCAAAATTTGGCCTTTAACAATTTATATTTCATTAATTTCAGGTTTTGAATTTCGAAAAATGAAGGCACTTAATAAATATCTTAACTTGTTACTTCTCTCACTCTATCTTTTGTTTGATGAGTGATGAAGAAAGAACAAAGTAGGGATCACAAAATGTATTCAACATGACAACTCTCGGCTGATCCATCACCCTCGTTTTAATCATGTCTGAAGGTGAATTTCTATATCAGTTTCGTGGTGGGATCCAATTTTTTGACATCCAAAACTTTATCTGATATTGAATACGTGGCAAACTATAGTCCATGGCTGTTCCACCCTTCTTGTTGCCATGAACAACTCCCCAATCCCCATCTTCTGTCCTTTCCAGCAATACTTATCCTACTCTCGCGAGTGAAAGTAGAGCTTATCACTCTCACTATTGCTTTTGCACTGTAAAATCATGGAATCATTATTATCATCATTATCATCATCATCACCATCACTATTATCATCATCCAAGTCAGATCCCATTTGGGTTCGCTCGTAATCTTGTTTGGTCATTTTGTTTTGTTTAATGCATCATATCCACTGTTAAGTTATGTTTAGATATTAAAGCATAAAGAGAACTAGCAGTTCCTTGCAACCTTGCATTGAGAATACCTCCCATGAAATAAATCACATAAGTACGGAGATATTCCCAATGTAAGGCTGTAAAAGCTGTTGGAACGACTGCAATGTGCTCCCCACTTTACATTATAGCCGCACATTTGGGAATATCTCCCATATATATAATATATATATTATCATTCATGGGGAAATGTTCACAATGCACGACTACAATGTACTGTGGGGTTGGTGTAGGGAGCAAATCCAAACTGTTACAATTTACCTAAAATGTAGGAATACCCTGGAAATCGAACATGTGTAGAGAGTAAAGTTTTTGAGAGTAGGATGCAACCGAAATTGGCAGGCTGTGGAATATGATGTGACTTACAAATGATTTGTTGGGTCTCCCAGCCAAGTGGGGACTTGAGTCTCTGTTGTGGCTAGTGTTTTCAATCTATCATTAACCTGGCTGGCTGGTTGAACCAGTGACTTGATGATCTGATCACAATATGGGTTTAGAGTTTGGACCAGCCTCTAACTTGGTGCTTTATAAAATCCTACTTATTTAGGTAATGTTTGGTATTGTTGTTTTTATCAAAAGCATTTTGGTTGATCACATATGAGAGAGTCACTTCACCTAGAATTAATGACTAGACTAACAAAACATCAATTTGACTTTTCTACAAATAGCCTCCCCTCTCTAAACATGTGCACCCATGGAACAAAGAACATCAATTTGACTTTTATACACGCAGCCCCTATCTAAAGATCTGTCTCTCTCATCTATAAACAACCTCAAATAATAGTTGCCAGTCAATTTGTATTCATCAGTCCAAAAATGTTTCATGTAGAAATAACAATGGTATCAAACATCACTTTAGAAGGTGTTTGGTATTGTTAGAAACAATACCAAACAAGTGCCATTAGATCCCACATAAGACAACATGTCATACAAGGTTCTAGAGCAGATAATGCCTAAATAGTGTTTCTTTCAAAAATCACTTTTACATAACCAGAGAAAAAGAAAAAAATACAAAAAGTTTTCATTCTTGATCAATCCAATCAAATAGGATTTTTAATTATTCATGTTTAAATGAAAATACCTATATAACTCCTACATAAGGACTTCAAATCACTTATACAACACCACAGTACCAAACACTACTTTAATTAATGACCCATATTTTGGCAGTTGAACCATTGACCAATCTTAACCCCTTATGCATATTGCCAAGTTTTTGCATTATTTTATTTTTTGTACTTTTTTATCTTGGTAACATCGTTGGTTTTTATATTGATGATATCATTGGTTGATATATTTACCCAAAATGGTTGAACCACTGAGCCATTGATCCAGAGAGGGAGAAAGAAACGGTTCAACCTTCCGTCCGGATTTTAAAATACTGGTCATCTATGACACGTACTGTTGATCAACAACGCCACGTGGTAAGATGAAACGCATGGCGTACATCAGACTTGAGCATCCATGTCCTCTCTTTTTCCAACATATTCACGCGCGGTCCACGTGTCCAGGGAGGAATTTTCGTCAACACTCACGTGAAGAGGAACTGTGCCAGGACCAATCATTCGTGAAAGGACCCAGGATCTTTCTCGAATCTCGGCTTTACGCTGAAATCATTTAACTCAACCAGACCAGTTAGAATTAACCGTGGTTAATACCCGAAATTAACCATGGTTAAGTAAAATTTCTGCTACGTAATCCTGCGTAAGAATTAATAAATATCTAGCGAGACGCTACCTTAACTCCAATCCAACTTCCAAGTTCCAACCCAGAAAGAACGTTTCGTTCATGGCTGGTGCCTGCGACTGTTCTCGTTTGCTTCATGTTCAATTGAATTCATCCTCCCGTCTTCATCACTCCGGCAGCGATTTTCTCATCATTTGATTGGTTTCCGGTGGCAGTATTTTGATTTCTTTTCCCGGCGGCGTTTCATTAATCATGACTGTCATTACTTCAGAACTTAATAAAATTTTCCGGTGATCGACGATCAAGAAGAAATTAATCTTTGAGAGCGAGTGTTCTCGGTGAACCATATATATATATATATACGTACCAGAACTGCTTCGTTTTCTCAGGAGGAAAAATGGGTACAGAGAAAGCATCAAGAAGATTAAACTTAGGAGAAGAAACAAAACCCAAGATCACCATCCAATCCATTTCAGACAACAGAGGTCTATCTCGTGGTGGTAAGATGTATATATATTGAAGTTATCATTGTCATCCTGTTTAATCTATCTTCAAGCAAAGTCATATCAGTTATCTGTTGTCTGTACTTGAAATTTCAGTCTTCACGGGAGAGAGTTAGATGCTGTATAGGGATTTATTTCAGATATGTTGGTACAACAGATTGTTGTTGCAGAACTAGAAACTGAGGTTTCTGTTCCTGGGTCATCTTATCAAACAGTGCTGAAACCTGCAGGCCCACCATTGGCTCTGCATTTTCTTTGTAAATAGAAGGATTATTCTATATATTAATTCTAATCCTGCTTTTGTTTCTCTCTGTGATTGACATGCAGAAGGGAGGACGAGAGGGCTAGGGATTGACATGAACAAAATCCCAAATGAAAGCAGTGACGACAGCCCTAACAATGGCGATGAAGAAGGAATGACGATAGCAAAGCGGAAAAAGCTTCGACTCACTGCCCATCAGACGGCTATTCTGGAAAGCTGTTTCAAGCAGCAAAGCACATTAAGCCAGGTAAGAGCCCCACAGTATTATGTGGTCTGTCTGTTGCTTAGTTGTTTTAGTTCATAGCTTGTAGCTTTCTGCATGACGTAGCAGCTTTCTGTCCCTTTTGTTCTGGGTCTGTGGATACCAAAAGCCTTACTACTGGACATTGATTGTCACCAAATGAGAACCAACAAATAACACCTGGCTCCCTACACTCCAAAAGCTCTTGTCCATCAATAGATGTTGTCTATCCAACAATCGGGATGGTAATATGATTTCCGACCACTCGACTTTTTGGGTTTATTTTATTTTCATTTTATTTTTATTTGAGTTGTGATTAGAGCACATCCGAGGGGGATTAGTGGATAGACCAAAAAAAGTGATGTTTTGAAAAGACAAGACAGCCCTATACGCTTTGTACTTTAATAGGGGTAGTTGTTGTCTTTTCACACGGGATGGGCTGTCCATAGGGATGCAGGATGCAGCATGCAGCTCTGGTTGCACCTTTGGGCTGCTGGGTCTTTTCAAATTTTGATAAAAGTCTAACATGATTAATTAGCCCAAATTGCACCCCCAAGTACATCTTTGCCAATGGAAATAAATTCAAAACATCACGTGTCTCTGCCTTTTCATTTTCATCTGTTGGGAGGGTTGCAAGGAAATGTGATGGTTTTGTGACTAGCTTGGTTGGTAAGGTTAGGTTTGAGATCGAATCCCACTTATACTAGGTTGGGATGGTCTATTCCCGCCCGTTGTGTAGCCCTTCACAAAACATCAAAAAATATAACCATGCCATCTCATTGTAATTGTTGCATGGGGTTCATATGGACTAAAGTATCAGGTAAGGTCATCACCATCAGCATATCAACTATCAACCGGTGGTGGCTCAGTTGGTAGAATAATCAATCACCCATTGTAGCAGAGACTTGGGGTCAAATCCAACACCATGGTTGTCGCCAAGTAGAATAGTGTTGGGCTAAAATCGTGAAATCACAGCCTTTGATGCATTTCTATGACCCCACTTTACCTCATTTCATCCAATTCAAGGTGGGGTTACAATAGTTGAGGACATGTTGAACTTAGACAACCAATTTTTTTTTTATCAAAATTGGGATGTGCCCTAATCAATATTTCTTGCCTCTCTTTTCTCTTTTCTCCCTTTTATGAATCCCTAGCCAGCTCACGGCTTTTTGAGCAGAAGGAAATGGGCTTAGTGCCATTATTTTCTTCTAACTACTTCTTCTTCTTCTTCTTCATTGAGATTGTCGTTGGACTGTGAGTTATTGTATGAAGTGGCATAACTCTCAAGAAAATATTTTACCTAAAAGCTTAAGCTATTAAGTGAAGAGGTTTTTATTCTCTAACATGCTTCTTCACGTGAAAGCCCATCATGCTTGAAGCGTGGACAAGCACAAGTCCACCCATACCTTGTGCTTAAACTTAATTACTATAAATAGAGACAACGGGGATTAAACACTAGACCACTTGGTCAAATAGGATATTCCATCTCAAGGAATAGTTCAACCTAAAAGCTTAAGCTAGATGAGGTCCCTGAATAGGTTTAGTCTCTAACAATAGCATTTGAGTGTCCTTACTTTGCTCTCCTTTTAATGAAAGTTTAGAAAACAATAATGAATCTCTTACAGAGGGAGAAATCATCTAGTTCTCTTTCTCAAGTATAAGGAGAGAAAAATGAATAATATAAGCAACCAACTAAACCTGATAGCTATGCATAACCTTCCTTGTTTAAGGGTTTTACTTATGAAGAGAGGGTTTCTATGCAGGGTCAATTTATTTTATTTTATTTTTTAAATAACAGAACAATTTATTAGTTGTCGCATGAATTAACCTGCTTTTCACTTGAGCTGGGGGGGGGGGATATATCACAATGACCACACTGATCATACGGAAGATCCAGACTTAAACCCGAGTATGCTACTTTGGTCAATGATCTAGAGGATCATTGTAGAATTACTGGTTTTCTGGGCTTTCTCAGAGGTTCTTCAATTCTATGAAAATTCTAAAATTCAGGAAGAATTTGGGAAAATAAAGTTGAAGTTGAGCTTTTTTTTTTAAATTTTATTATTTGACATCATACAGAAATCACATGGAAAATAGTTAAAATTTTAATCCCCATTTTTTAAAAATATAGGTTTCAAATGCATATATGCATATTCTGCTTTTTTTTTCCAGTTATTTTGTTTCTTTGACTGATTCATTTTTTATAATTCTTAAACTGAACTGAAATAGACAATTTCCCATTTTGAATCATGTTTCCAAATTTAGTTACATAAAAAAAAAACTATAGTTACATAAATAAGTTCGACACACTACAGCATGTTAGCAGGTAAACTCCCATATATACCTAGATATAATTATTGACTTGGACCTGAGTAAGAAAGTCCTCAAAATTTTCTCTCTTATACTATCAAATCGAGCAATCATTGAGTGACTGAACATAGAATACTTGTATCTTCTTTTGATTTAAGGTTAAACTGTTCATAGGTGCCAACTAGTTGGTTGGTAAGGTCTTCTGTTGGTCATAGCGGAGACTTGGGATCAAATCCCGTCTGCACCTGGGTTGGAGGATGGGCTACCCCCCATTGTGTAGCCCTTCAGAATTACTTGTTCTATCTTAAACCAAATGAGACTACCGATTCTTGCTAGGACTGCTCAAAATGAAGGATATTTCATTCTCCAGGGGTAGGGAATGGCCATTCCCTCAAATGGGGGAAATGTCATTCTAGCAGGAATGGAAATGGGATTCCGATTCCACCCAACCAAACAGTTGGAGATTCCAATTTAACCAAACAGGGAAAAAGTTGAAGGAAATCTTTTAAGGAATATTATGCAAGTTCTTAAGAATTTTCCCACAACTCTTTCTCTCTCTATATCTAGAGAAAATAAGAGAGACTTTGCAATCTCTCGAATTTCTGCCTTTTCATATTTCTTATATTTGCAAGCATATAATATCTAACATAGCCCCATCTTAGAACAAAAAAAGTGATCTGTTACAAGTTGAGGGGACTAAAAGAGTTAGGGGCAGATTGAAAAGGACTTAGGTAAAAGTAATAAGAAATGATTTAAACACCTATCATTTAATGATTTATATGGCATAGAACAAAATACAATGGCAAAAAAGGATTCACGTAGCTGACCCCTTATGGTTAGGATAAGGCTCAAATAATGATTGTTTTTGTTTCAAACATTACTAAGGCCTTGTTCTTGTCTTAAAAGCAAAATTTTTTCAGATGCCATGCTATTCTTTTAATACTCCCTATTTTCAAACTTCAGACATCGGACTTGACAACATTCTTACTATTGGTCCCTAAAATGCCCTTCATGCATTTTAGTTCTAGAAGACTAATAATTTCTAATAGAATCATATAATATGGTTTCAATGAGTTCACCTTGTCTCAAGCGCCTATATGATTGTTTTCTGTCATATAAACCAATGAGATGAATACACATTAGAGGCTGGTCCACTTCAATAAGAAGAAAATTAACCCTAAAGTTTGAAGTCCAATCTAACTAAGATGTGTGGTCTAATCTTAGGGATATAAGCGAAGGTGAACTTGATTTCAACTGGGTGCTTCAATTTATTGTCAACTTTTTGAATGTTGATGCATAATGGGAAGACAAAATTGCACCATGTTTCATGTCTAACTGATGTTCTTTCTTCATGTGTATTTGGTTGAGCAGAAAGAGAAAACTGAACTAGCTAAGGGGCTAAATCTTAAGCCTCGACAAATCGAGGTTTGGTTCCAAAATCGAAGAGCAAGGTCAGTGACATTTCAAATATAATTTTTGTGTATGCATGTGTACCACAAATTGCAATTTAATGTTTGTTTGTGTGGAAATCATTGAACCTATATATGACTCTATTTGTTTGTGCATATCTGATTCCCATATAAATTTTGCATTCCAAAAAACTGATGCAAAATTTGCACTATATCTTCTTCCTACCTTAATTAATAATTCTAAATCTCCTGTATAATAAAGTCGGGACCACATCATCTTGCTTCCTCACTCTCAAACAAATAACTCTCCTCCTCCCTCCATTCTCTTTCATATGAAGTGGGGATTATTTCATCAATGATTATCATAAATTGAACTATAAAATCCAAAAATAGATGGCTGTACAAAAATATGTTCATAAATTCTTTCAGATTAGACCAACCCAGCTCAGCTCAACCTGAAGCAAGCCCGACCCAAGTTACATTGGGTTAAGTTTGGATTGGACTGGGTTGATAAAGTTGGGATTGACCACAGGTTGAGCCAGGACTCGGCCTGTGGTTTTCTTTAGGGTTGGGCCTGGGTTGATCATCAATCCAATCCAACCCGTCCAAGTTGCACCCTATATTCAGCAGCAGTAGTTGTATTAGTTAAGGGTGTCAATGGACCGGTTTTGGATTGCACCCCATTCAGTCCAAAATCAATTTAGATGAATTGGATGGACCAACAAGACATATTGGATTGGATCAATCCGGTCCAAAATATTTATTAGATTGGAATGGACCTGATCCGTCCGTAACAAATTTATATTGGGTTGGGTTGGATTAAGTCAATATCTGGTCTATTGCTATAAATGAATTTGAACAGATTGGACGGTCCAGACATTGAATTGGACCGGTCTAAATTGATCCAAAACATTCATTGGATTGGATTAGATCTGGTACATTTATAATGGACTCACATTGGACTAGATCGGATTGGACCAAATCCAGTCCAATTGACACCCCTAGTATTAGTAGCTTGGTTGTAGGTGCTGTAAAATGCAATTGGATAATATAACTGGCTTGTATTTGTTAACTATCATTATTATGCTGTCCCTCTTATATTGAAAGTTTCTAGTCTTTCTTAACATTATGGCAAACAGTAATTGAGTGGCAAAACTAGAAAGGTAGGACCAGTACAGTTTATAAATCTATAAATAGTTAAATGAAGTTTTATATTAAACTTATACTTTTAAATTAAATCAAAATATAATACAGAATCATGTTTGAATACTTGTAAAAATGTTAAAGCTCAGTTAGGGAAGAGTGCAAATACAGATATATACACTGCAATATTTTGTATTTGTATTTGCACTCTTCCCAAACTGAGCCTCATCAAATAAATATCTTGCATATTAAGTTAAGATGTGTGTATGCATTTGTGATATATAAGTTTATAATTTACATGTAAAAATTGTTTAGTTTTTGATGCATCATGCATTTTAATTTATAATATGGTTTCGATTTGTATTGCATACAAATGAAAATTACGGTTGGTTCATGTATGTATTAATATTTAATGCATGCGTTTGTGTTATGTTTGGTTTGAAGGAAAAGATAGGGAAAGGAAGGGAGTTGCAAATACAGCCTTAAAACCAAACACAGCCTTCTTTTCCCTACTTTTTCCTTTAAACCAAACACAGCCTTAAAGTTTCTCTTTTATGTATTTATACCTTATTGTAGCCAATTAAGCTCTAGAATTTATGTTATTGAGGAAACTGTAAGATTTATGTGGGCTTTCCTATCATATCCATGTGTATCTTAATTATTTCATATCATATCTTTGTAATATATCTCCTAAAATTGTCTTTTCATATATAGCTCTTTGTAATACCAATCTTGAGTTGTGAATGCCCAGCTTCCTATATTTTAGTGAGATTGTTTTGTAGTTGCAACTGGATGGAGGAAATGTCCAATTGCAACTCCCTTTTGTGCCATATATAGGGGTGTTAATTGGACTGGATTTGGTCCAATCCGATCCAGTCTAATGTGAGTCCATTACAAATGGACCAGGTCTAATCCAATCCATGAATATTTTGGACTATTTTGGACCGTCCAATCTGTTCAAATTCATTTTGATTTAGATTGGTTTCAACCCAAATCTGATTCATTAACACCTATATTCTTATCTTGTATCAATGGACCAGATATTGTCTTAATCCAATCCAATCCAATATAAATTTATTATGGATGGACCAGGTCCAATTCAATCTAATAAATATTTTGGACTGGATTGGTCCAATCCAATATATCTTGTTGGTTCCGTCTAAATTGATTTTGAACTGGACAGGGTCCAATCCAAAACCGATCCATTGACACCCTTAGCCATATATACCCTCTACTAAACCCCTTTACAAGTTCCATATATCTTCCTTACCTTGATATTAAACGCACTTATTATTAGGGCTACAAATGATATCCGTTTATCCAAATTCAAATTCAAATTTGATTCAGTAAAGGGTGATCCAGGTTTGATCAATTATATGATTCCATTTAAATGTATATGTTAATATATATTAACAATTTAATTGTATCTATTAGTAAAAATGATTGTTTTTTTTAGTAAGTTCATGTTTCACATAAGTTAAGTTTTCATTTTGTTCATGGTTTACAATATCAAAGTCATTTTAATTGGTTCATTTTATTTATAACATAATATTTTAATCATTTTTAATACTATTTAATATCTAATTTAATTATATTATTTATAATATAATATTATATGTATATATATATATTAGCCAATCAAATCTAGAACTATTGGATTTAAATCTGAATATTAGCCAATCAAATCTAGAACTATGCATATCCACCGACTCGATATAGATTTCAATAATGCCCTGCTTTGTGTTGTTGAAATAACAATATTTTACATAATAACACAAAGAAGAGCTTAAATGCGATAGATAGAGAAGTCGCTTCAAGGGAAACCATTTTCTTTTTGGCTGAAATACAGATAATTTGGGATTTCTGTGTTTTTTTAACAAACATTACTTACTGGGTGAGGATCATCTCGCAATGGCATGAAAGCCCTTCCAAACAGGCCCTAGGCCCTAAATGACCAGCTTAAGTCAAATTACCTTAAGGGGGCATTCTTTTTCTGGATTTTGAGAGGGGGGAAAGTTCGTCAATTGGATTTTGATTCTCATTGACCAAAAATCATATATCATCTTTTTCAGATTTATGTGGGGACCAGGGAAAGCTTATTTTACTAGGTACTATCTCCTAGGTGTGTAAATAATTTTTTCCCCCTTAAGGGAAACTTGCCAACACTTTAATGGGACAAAAATGCCCCTTGTAATAATGAATTTTTATGACTAAAATGATCATTGCCTTATTTACATGGGAAATAAAAGAACATGGGTAAATGCACTTACCTGGGTTAGGAAAGACTTACCCAGGTAAGTGCATTTACCCGGATAAGTAACTTATCGAAAAGCGTGAATCGATTTGCATCTTTTTAATTACTACTGCAAAGTGTAAAAAAATTCTTCATTCTTCCTAATTATATGAGTTACGTTGCTTAACAGTTTTCTTTCTTTTTTTTTTTCTTTGTTTTACTATTCCTCCTCTCTTGCAACAAACTACAACAGAACCAAATCTAAGCAAACAGAAATGGATTTTGAGTATTTTAAACATTGCTGTGAAACTCTAACGGAAGAGAATCGGAGGCTGCACAGAGAGCTGATGGAGTTACGTGCATTGAACCGGCCACCTCAATTGTACATGCAAGTTCCAGCTACAACTACAAGGCTTGTTGTTTGCTCCATATGCAAGAGAGATGCTTTGCCCAATAGCAGACAAGACAGGGTGGTGCCCAAACTCTCTACTAAGGTCGTCCCTTTCCAAGTCCATGGTCACACTGGGATGTAGTTTCTTAATTGATCTTCTCTCATGTGAATATAATTCTAGTAAAGAAAGCTGTAAACGAAAATAAATGAAAAGAAAGCCAATTAATTCATAGAAAAGAACATCTATATTATATAATATAAAGTGTTTCTAGCTAAAAGAGGTACCTTTCGCTTTAGGATAGAATATAGTATTTGTGTGTTAGAGAATAAAATCCTATTCAGAGACCTCAACTATAATAGTTTATAAGCTTTTAGGTTGAATGATTCTTTGAGATGGTACATGCTAGAAAATAAAATCCTATTTAGAGATTTTGCAGCCTAACAACTTATGCATTTAGGTTGAACAGTTCCTTGACACTGTGTAATGTTAGAGACCATGTGCCTTTTAATTTGCTGGATAATATCAAATAAGGGCAAAAAGATATCAGATGTATTCAGTGTATGAGATCGACCTTGTATCACTTTTTTTTATGACACAAATGCTCCTCTATTGAAGAGAAAAAGAGAGGAGAGACAAAAAGTCTTAGACTATGTTTGGTGATTAAGTGGTTGTTAAAAGAAGTATAAATGCTTATTTTAACAATCACTTAAGGCTGTTTGGTAACCCACTTGCCAAACTACTTATTATATTTTTTAAGCACTTATTGGGGTGGGATGCTTTGTGAGCTTCTTTTCCCATAAGTGCTTATATTGACACAAATGACAATTTTAGCTCTCACTTCACTCATACATATAAACAATGCTTTTCACATATTATAATATACATTTCAATGAAAAGTCGCCACATCATGACACTTGAGAGCCCATGTAGGCCCACACATGGAGTGCCATGTAGACCCAAATAATAATAATAATAATAATAATAACAACAACAACAACAACAAGTAATAACAAATAATAAATATTATTGATAAATAATAATAATAATATCATAAATACTTATAATCGCAAATCAAGAATACATGTAAACATTTAACTAATTATTAATCACAACAAAATATAAGAAAACATCACAACTATACATATCAAAAATAAAGAAAAATACAATCACAAATCAAGAAAAATATAAACATTTAACTAATTATTCATACAAAAAATCAAGAAAAAAATATATAACCCACATATTTCAACATATGTTTTGCATCATTTTTAACAAAAAAACGCAAAAAAAAAAATCTACTCATGCATAGGAACCATCACATAGACAATGCAAAAAATAAAAACAAGTAAATATTTCAGGTTTCTCACTTGAAAAATCTAAAAAAAAAAAATGAATCCAGACAAATATTCACCCAAAAAACAAGAAAATAACATCAAACATGGAGGGGAGGAGTTTGGGCGAACTCACCTTCGTTGTCACCAGTGGACCAGTCCACACCACACCTACAGAATGCCACCGCGGGTGTGGACTAGTTCGGTCCACACAATCTATCACAATTTGGAACAGTTGCAAACTATGGTGTGGTGTGGATTGGTCCCTGGCACAGGGTGTGGTGTGGACCAGTCCACACCCACCAATTTCTCATTAACACTATAGAACACCCCCTTAAAGTGTTAGAACCATCTTCCCCTCATATGTATCTTGTTTAGCATTGTTGTAATATAGGCCAATCAACTGCAGTATTGCAATTTGAAACAGCCTACAAACAATTGAAATTGAACATATGGCCAAAACTTGACTAGTATCAAATCATTGGTTGCAATGGCTTGTTTATAGGTTTCTACTTCACTATAAAGAAGATTCAAGTTTGCCTATTTGGAAAATTCCATGTAGAAAATATCAAATAAAGTTGAATGTGGATGGTGGGCCAATGGAAATCAGATTTGCTCCTCACAAAATTGGTCTTCACACCCATGCCACAGCCTTTGTAGTCGCGCATTGGAAATATTTCCCCATGAATAAAAACATACAAATACTAAAATGTTCCTAATGTGCAGCTGTAAAAAGTGTGAGGTGGGTGTAAGGACCTATTATGTAAGGAGCAAATCTGAACTCAGATTAGTCATTGACAAAATTGGATTTGCTCCTCACAAAATCAGTCCTTTCACCTATCTCAAAGCTATTGTAGCCGTACATCAGGAACATCTCCTAGTTGCATGTTTTTATTCATGGGGAAATGTTCCCAATGCATGCCTACAAAGGTTGTGACGTGGGTGTGAGGACCAATTTTGTGAGGAGCAAATCCTATTTCCTCAATGGGTAATTAATCAATCCTGCCAGGTAATTAAAATGATAATGCAGGTAAGGACCTATTATGTAAGGAGCAAATCTGAACTCAGATTAGTCATTGACAAAATTGGATTTGCTCCTCACAAAATCAGTTCTTTCACCTATCTCACAGCTTTTGTATCCGTACATCAGGAATATCTCCTAGTTGCATGTTTTTATTCATGGGGAAATGTTCCTAATGCACGCCTACAAAGGTTGTGACGTGGGTGTGAGGATCAATTTTGTGAGGAGCAAATCCTATTTCCTCAATGGGTAATTAATCAATCCTGCCAGGTAATTAAAATGATAATGCAGGTAAGACATCTTTTGAGACAATGAAGAGGAGAGGTGAGGTTTGCCTTTATCAACACTAACATGGTAGTAGAAGTAGGAGCATTACTATAGGGCATGGTGTCCTTCAATGCTGCTACCAGAGGTTTAGAAGGTCCTTGGGTTCTATATGGTGTTGGCAAGGAAAATCAACTTAGGAGTGATCAATAAGGAAATCCTAGATTAAGAGATGGGAACAGAGTAGAAGATGCTTCAGCAAACCTTGTGATTAGAAAGAAAAATATTCTGGTTTGTATTAATGGGTCTCCCTCCACAAATCCATTCCCATCGGCCGACATTCTTGTCCTCAGAAGGTGCTTGTTTTGGCATCCATTACAACACCTCTTGTTGCTACTGCTGCCCATTTGCCTCACCCTCTTGTAGCCGACCCATCGATTGGCAACTCTATTGCACTTGGGAAACTTGGTAGTATAATAGAAAAGTTGATCTCCCATAACTAGTTCTTGACAGATCTCCACCTATCAAATGGGAAAAAGGTAAAGAGAATTACATTCCTTCAAGTATTTATAGTAAAAGATATGAGCACGCGTAATGAATTGAATAATATCACATGTGGCTAATTTGCATAATTGGCTTGGTTTCTCCTATACTCCCCCTCAAGTTGGAGTTGGTGAAGGACAACAAACTAAGCCCAACTTGGATGATAAGAACTGAAATTGATCACGACTAAGAGCTTTGTTGAATAAATCAGTTGGTTGAGATGAGGTAGGTATATGCTGAGTAGAAATGGTCCTAGCTTGAAGGTGTTCTCGCACAAAATGACAATTGATGTCAATATGTTTGTGTTCGTGGAACATAGGATTTGTTGCAATATGTAGGGCAGCCTTGTTGTCACAGTGAAGAAGCATGTAGTGTGAGTGATGAAAACCAAGGTCACCTAGTAGATGTTTTAACCATAGTAATTCACTTCTTGCGTCCATGGGGTGGTATTTGGCCTTAGCAATTGACTAGGCAACAATTGGTTGTTTTTTGGTTTTCCAAGAGTATGGGTAAGTGCCTAAGAAAGTGATATAGCCAATGGTGTATCATCTTATGAGTGGACAACTTGGCCACTTTGAGTTGAAAAAACCTTTTGAGTACCAAGTCATTAGGTGAGGATAGCAGTAGATCATGATTCAATAAGCCCTTAAGATAGCGGAGAACATGTATAGCAGCATCCATATGGGCTTGTGTGGGCTTGTCCATGAATTGATTCAATGTATGCACAACATAGTCGATGTTTGGTTGGGCGATAGTTAGATATATAAGTCTGCTCACAAGCCTTCTATAAGTGTTTGATCGAGGAAGAGCTAGACTAGTGTCTATGGTGAGGTGATGTTGAGTCATTGGGTATGAACTAGGTCAATTGCCCATCCTTCCAGAATCTAGGAATATGTTCAAAATGTACTTGCATTGATTCATAAAGATGCCAGAGTTGGAACGAAGAAATTCAATGTTGAGAAAATAACGTGTGAAACCAAGATCTTTGATGTGAAAGCATTGGATGAGATAGCTTTTAAGGCCAGCAATATGGCTTGGATTGTTCCCTATGGTGAGAAGATCATCTACATACACAAGGATGACAAGAAAGTTGTTTGGCTGGGAAGCGATAAAAAGAGTGGTGTCTGCTGTAGAGTGTTGAAATCCATTGTGTCAAAGTGCTTGGGTTAGTTTCTCAAACCAATTGCGAGAAGCTTGTTTAAGCCCATATAATGATTCTTGAAGACGAAAAATGCAATTGTCTCCGATAGAGAGAAGACCCGAAGGTGAAAGTTAGGGTCTTCTCCCTATCGATCAATAGAACCATTTGGTTTGAGTTTCAATTTGAACACCCATTTGCAGCTAACGATAACCTTTCCATTTGGTATGGAAGTTAGGGTCCATGTATGATTTCTTTCAAGCAGAGAGCTCATATTTCATTGCTTGTTGCCAATGAAGGTGTGTAGCCGCATTAACATATGATTTGGTTTCGTGTAGGCTAATAGAGTAGAGGAGAGATTTGAGTCTGGAGGTGGCTTTGAAATCGGATGACTGGTACTAGGTTTGGGCTATATGGTAGGACACACATAATCAACCAAGTGAGCAGGAGGTTTGGTAGTGAGTCTAGGCCTTGTGGGTTCAATAACCATTGTGGGCTGATGTCTAGTAGCAGGGAAAGTGGGCTACTAATCAGTGGTGGGTATAATAAATGGAGTGATTTAGTTTTCTATAAGATTTATAGGTGTGGATGGTTCATGTGATGTGGAGGAATCAAACATATTGAAAGGTTTATTTTCATCACCATTTGTTGGCAAAGGGATAACAAGCTTATTGACTTCTGAGATGTGAGACTATTAAGGAAATGTATTTTCATAGAATAGAACATCCCAAGATACAAATATTTGTTTGGTGTCCAAGTTGTACAACCAGAAAGCCATTTGTCCATGGGGATACCCAACAAAGATGCAATGAACAACTTTTTAGTGAAAATTTGTCATGGACCT